AAAAATAAAAAATAAAAATAAAACCCTAAGTTAATGAAAAATCCTACACTGACAGTTTATATGGTACAATGTCAGCCTTGCCAGATGCTAGAATTTCCAAGAGAGGTATTAGGTTAGTCTTACTCAATATCCAGTATCAGCTTGGTGCCTAGTATTTTGTTAGGAACCAAGGGAAACATAACACATACTTAGAAAACAAATGCTGCTTTCCAGACAGCTATAACCTAGCTGGGAAAGCATACTGGACCCAACTTAGTAACTGCGAGACACAAATTAGCAACCGTGCGAAACACAAGTTAGTGACTGTGCAAATGAATTCCACTATCACTGAGTCCGGACAATTAGAAAAGAACAAGACTGGGCCAGGGACATAGCTCAGGGGACTAAAGTACCTGCTTAGGCAAGTGCAAGGACCTCACCTAGGTTTGATCCCGGAACTACATGCTGTGCCAGGCCTGCTCCCAGGGCAGGCTGAGCCAGCGCCCCCCAAAAAACAAGATCATAAAAGGCTGAAGAGTCGGAAAAAATTCACAAGCAGATAGTGAGAAAGGAAAAAATAGTAACAGCAAACAACAATGATGTGTACAAGATACTGTGTAAGAAGCACTCTTTAAAGAAGACCTCTCCTGAAACTTAGAAGAACCCTCTAGTGAGCTACTGCCATCTCCACTCTGCAGGCACAGAAGTTAAGATGCCGGGACCGATCCACTTAGGAATGTACAGCCAGGATCAGAGGCACAGCAGGATACTGGCCTTGAGCTCAGAGAGAAGGGCCTGGGGTGGAAGAGGGATATGGTGGGGATGTTCTGGGAAGAGAAAACTGTAGGCCTGAAGGCCAAGAGTAGGAAGAAGGAGGCTCCTCCATCTGCTTCAGAGATGGGGGCTGACACGTTGACCAGAGCCAGGCTTTGACTCAGCCAGGTGGTTGGCATCTTGGCATGTTCTTGCAAGTCTCCACACAAACTAAAATCTCAAGATAGTAGATGTTTAGGTACCTTTTAAAGTATAAAGCTTTTGGGCTCTGCTCTCTTCTGCAGGCTCCTTGATTCAAAGTATTTGGAACTGCTATAATTCAGAGACGCATTTTAATTTTCCTGCTTCAAATCAAGCTATTGAAAATAAACTTAACGATAAGACAGCCATCCCCTCTCACACTCCACAAGTCCAAGTCAAGCTATATACATTTGTTCCCCATGCCAGACACCACATGGCACACTTCCATGATGGTAAAGCGGATTTATGGCTCTGTGTCTCAAGGCTTTGCCTAGCCACTTAGCAACAGGTATTAAGGAAGGGGAAAGCACACTGGGATGCTTTCTCAATGCTTTTCTGGCGCTGCTTATAAATGAAACTTGCAAAATACAGAACATCTGAATGTTGTATAATGTGTTTTTCTGCTTCATTTATACCCTGTGGAATTGCAGGATCACACCTTTTCCAGGAAAAAAAGCAAAGCAATTTTGAGGCTATTATCTATTTCTGCACACAGCGTACAGGACTTACCTCACAGTTGCTGAGATCCAGTGAAACTCCCTTCAAATTATGATTACAAGCCAGGCCCAACAACAGCGCTCTGAGGGGAGGAAACACAAATACTATTTACATTTCCACAGGATGCACATGTGCATGTGTGCACACGCGCACACACACCACCCGTACACATACAGGCAAATGTAATCACATTGAATAAAGCCTGGGGAAAAGGTGCCTTTCTTTAATCACAGGTCAAGCACAGCACACATTCATGTTTTCAAATGCCATCTGTATCTCTGTCTCTTGACAACAGTAAAACAATGACGCGGCTGCATTTCTTCTCCCGACAGGCGTAGAGTCCATCATAAATGCAGAACTGAGCAGGACTGCTATTGCTATGCAAATAAACCAACAGCTCACCTAATTGCATATTGAAATTAAATTGTGGTCACCACAGATAAATTCCCACCTGCATCTGTTTAAGAACAGTTTTAATAATGTTTAGAATATTATCAAGCAATGGTTATTAGAGAAGCAAAGTAAAGCTGGTCTTCCCTAAGGAATATGGTGGGGAAGGAGGGCGCCACAGTATTCCACGATGTGAAATACACCAAGATGAGTTAAGAACTATAGAGTGGATAGGCAGGGGTAGAGAACACTGGAGAGAAGAAGGCATATATCTTCACCACAATCTTGTCTGCTGTCTGGCCACCTGCCAGACTAAGGCGAAGCATGGCTCTGCTCTAAAGGAAATTTATTTTTGTCTACAAATTCTGGAGGCTGGAATTGATCAATTGGATGTCCTATCTGTATAAAGAAGATGACCTGAACCCACCACTTTTTTAAGTTAGTCCCATGCCACTGAACAGGCCTAATACAAAAAATTCTCACATGCACGTACATCCATTAGATGACACTGAATAGGCACAAGACATTAATTTTGACCTTGTGAGGAGATCTGAGATGAGCAGAAGGAGGCTCCTGCTATAAGCTAAAGAAATAAAGGTATGCTGATATAACAGGAACACCAGGTAAGCAGCAATAAGCAAGAAAGCGGGGCACTCGGACATCCATATTACAGTGACTGACTGCCCATTCCCAGAACACAGGCCCCTGGCAAGCAGACTGCAAAAGCACGCCAGGGGAGGAAGAGGCGTGGCGGGAGGAGTGACTGCCCGCCTAGCACCTGTGCGTGAGCTTCTCCTTCTGAAATCCTCAGGTCTGGCTGACTGAGAGCCAGCTCCAGGAATGGATGCAGCCCCTAGCCAACGGCCTCCAGCTGCGAGGGCTCCTCAGTGAGAAGAGGGGCAGCGGGCCCCATTCTTTTCCCTCAGTAGGTCTTCTTCACCAGTCCCTGTGACACCAGCTGTGAGAAAGGCAGCATATCTCCCATGTGTACATGTCAAGTGTTTACTAAAATTCTTCTCTTTTACCTAAAAATTGCTTTTTTCTCCTTTGTTCCCTGGGGGCAATACTGAGCTCCTGAAAGCACTTGGGACTAAAAAGCAAAGGCCAATCCCTGGGTCCTAAATTTGACATTGAAAGTACGGTGACCCATCCTAACATCCCATTGAGGGGAGCTCACGTTCTCATCAGTCAAAGGAGAATATTGGAACAGTACCCAAGAAATCTCTTTTATTTCTAGGACATGCTGAGTTTTCAAGTTATTTCAGCAAAACGCTTCCTGTTTTTCTTACATGGATTAAAGCCATAGGATAAACAGTGTGTTTTAAGATACTTAACTAGAGAAGGCCAATGATAAGGAGGTAACAACTCATAGGACCATAAAAGTCATTACTAATAAAAATAAAACAGAATAACTTCAAGAAAATATAGAGGGCACAGATGGGGCACACTGGAACAAGTGTTATTTTTGCCAACTTACACCAAATCTGCCTTAATCCCTCAATCCTCAACCACCTGCAAAATGAGATGAGATAAGCTGCTACTCATTTGCCATCTGAGACTAGGTGACATGTCGAAATTTTGGTGGTTTTTTTTTTTTTTTTATTTTAGGGAAGGGTCTACAGGGTGTTCAGTCTCACTACGTAGATTGGATTCATAGTGATCCGCCTGTTTACAGCCTCCCAAGAGCTGGGATTCAGGCGTGCACCACCACACCCAGTCTCAATTGCCATTTCAGTGTGCCCCGGAGGCAGGGCCCAGCAAGGCAGGCCTGGGGATCGAACTCCCAGCCCCTGTGCCTGCTTGCAGGTGCTTTAATCTACTGAGCTATTTGGCCGGCCCTCTATGTTCGGAAGGAAACTTTCTATCTTCTTTTAAAGGACCCCAAATTGAGTGGGAAACTTCTGGAACGTATTACGTGCACACTGAAGGCGTTACTCTCCAAAGCAGTCACGCCCCTTTAGCTGATCTACTCACAGCGACTGACCTGAAACCCCCCTGAAGCCAGTGTGTCTCCCTGCTCCCTGGAGACAGTAATGACGGATTGGGACAAGCACCATGGAACAGTGCCACAGAGCCCCCTGACAACCCAGCTCTTCTCTCTGGGAAGGCCTCCAACCCAGCCCAGCTTTTCTATCTTCCTCCAAACCCTGTCACAATGGTAATCCCAAAATCAAGGCCTGATGAATATACTCCAAGCTAACCATAATCCTCCATGCCTGCTCTTCTGAAAATCCAGACTGTCACTGCAATTTTGAGGATGCTACCTAGTCTGAGCCTCAGTTTCCTCAGCGGTACAATGGGGATAATGATACCAGCTTTTTACGTAAGCAGTGCATGCAGAGACTTCCAGGACAATGACAAACAAGTTCAGGGCAGTTTTTTGAAATGCCCTTCTGGTCCCACTTCCTCGTAGGTAAACTTAAGCACCTCAGCTGTGGGCATCCATCTTCCCACCTTACTACTGCCCATTACGTCACCACATGAACTTGGTTTATGGACTCTTCAGCCACAAAGCCTCTCTCCTCATGCTAAAATTGATACTGCATGAAAGAGTGAAAGAGACCACCGCTTGGCCTCTTTTCTTTCCTCCAAGACTGAAGCAACGCAGGGGAGACGAGAGTAACCCAGAGGTTGCATCTACCTCCATGAGCCTCCTTAAGAAGCCCGAGAGTGAGATGACCCCAGAGAAGCTTCAGAAGCGGGAAGAGGAGGAACTTAACACGGGTCCACTTTCTGTGCTGACCCAGTCAGTCAAGAACACCCAGGTGTTCAACTGTCGCAACAACACAAAAACTCCTAGCCTGGGTAAAGGTCTTCGGCAGGCACTGCAGCATGGTACTAGAGAACGTGAAGGAGATGTGGACTGAGGTCCCCAAGAGTGACAAGGGCAAGAAGAAGTCCAAGCCAGTCAACAAGGACCGCTACATGTCGAAGATGTTCTTGCGTGGGGACTTGGTCATCGTAGTGCTGCGGAACCTGCTCATCGCTGGCAAGTAGGGGCCGCCTCCCTGCTGTCAGGACCTGTTCCCATCCCTTGAAGACCTGTCCTTCATAACTGTATTGATAATAAAGTGCTGCATGTTAAAAAAAAAAAAAAAAAAAAAAAAAAAAAAAAAACAGAGAGAGAGACTACTGCTTTAACATGCCTAAACCTTCACTTAAATAACAGGTTACAATACTTAATAATTGTAAAGTACCTTTTTCTTTTCTGTATTTAGGATAGGGTCTATAGGGTTTCACTACATAGATCAGACTCGTAGTGATTCTCCTGCTTCCACCCTCCCAAGTGGTGGGATTATAGGTACGCACCACCTTGCCTAGTCTCAATTGCTGTCTCAGCGTGTCCCGCAGGTGGGGCTGGCAAGGCACGCCAGGGATCGAACCCCGGACATTATGCTCTGCCTAAGCAGGTGTTTTAGTCCACTGAGCTATCAGGCCGGCCCTATAAAGTACCTTTGAAGTATATTTATCCATGTACTGTTATAATAAAACATAGAAAATCCAATACTGTCATGGCAGGGAATATAGTATAAAATCAATTGCATAACCAATGAATAATTGCTCCATATTATACAAGGGTCATTAACAGCGAAAGAATCAGAAAACTGTTTTATGTTTAAATCTGTTTTGAATGCACTAATCTCCTGCTTATGAACACAACAGAATGCGCCTGGTTTTGCTTTGTACCCAAGGTCCTCGTATCTACCACACCGCAGATGCTCAAAAAAATATCAGCTGAATAAATGAATATGATTAAGTTATAAACCTGTCCCTTTGGAATACTAATTCTGATGCCTTTCTTAATATCTGTGCAACCAAACCATCAGGTCTTTTAAATGTGGCCATTACATTCAGAGGCCTTTAATATAGTATTTTAACATTTTACAAAAGGCCTCAATTTCAGACGTTTCTCAGCACTTGACTGAGGCCACTTTTCTTAAGGATGTCTACTGTTTTAGGTCAATGGTGCTAGGTGGAACGGAGAACTTCGACCTCTCAAAAACAAAAATGAGAGAGGGGGAAAGAAAGGGAATTTCTCAATACTTTTCTAGTAAAATGGATAGCAGGCATTGCTTTTTAACATTGCACACAAATTACAAGAGGCAAGTAAATGCTAACGAATACATTAGCTGTGGAGACGAGAAATATCTGCACACACCTCAGTCGATCTGACAACCCACAACTACTTGAAAATACAGCATTGTGCTTCCTGGAGACCCAGGGAATATGGCTCAGCCACCCTTGTCCATGAAACGCCGGAGTGTTTCTGGTGATGGTAAACGCAATTCTCAAAAGCAACAAATGACTTTCAAACTTCAACTGAAAACGTCAGAGGCAACCCATACTTAACTCAGGAATTTAGACACGCTAATGCTTACGCAGCAATTCTGCTGCATACGCAGGATGTACATAATATGGAGCTCGACTGTTACTATTAGTTGAAACATTTATAAGAAATATTGATGAAAACACCTAAGAATATGCCTAAAAGGAGCCGAAAGAAGATTAATATAAGGCAATGATATCTGGGAGCATAGTTTTGAATAATATTTTATTGAATAATACAGGAGATGAACGCATTCATGGACTTCAGGATGCTATTTTCAGGCATGCACAGAACATAACTTTTGCAAAAGATCAGTGACTACTGCCAAGGACACAGACCCAAAGGAAGAATTATTTTTATATTCACAACGCAGTAAGAGCAACACTCTGACATATCCTGTCTTAAGAGTACAAAAGTATTCTCTTTCGCCTCTTCTGTCTTTGGATTATGCATCTTTCTCCTTCTGCTTAAGCATACTCATAATAAGACACTGAACTTTAAAAGCTCTGGAGAAAATGAATTAATCACTTACTTTAAGGGCTCCGGAGACAGCTTTGTGCCAGAAAGGTTGATTTGCATCAGTGCTAGAGAGCTACTAAAAAACTGCTTGAAAGACAGCGGCACTTCTTTTCCTTTCCTGAAAAGACACAGGAGGCAGACAAGGGCTTATTTCCAGAAAACTTGTTTATTGGTTATTCAGACACCGTGAAATAGCCCATAAATCAGACCCACTCTCGTAACAATGTAAAGGCAGAAAGAACTGAATACCTGCCTGAACCCCACACGAGTAAACCAGCCTTCTTAAGTACATGGAATAAGAGATTAAGTTAAGACACATCACTAACTTCACAAAACCAATTATTCCTGTTCTTTGTAGCTAAAGAACACCACTGAATTTCAATCCTTGAGAAACTGCATGTTTCCAGTCTTAAAAAACTGGAGGTGAGAAACGTGTTCTTCCATTAGTTTAGTGCAAAGCTTCCCTTTCCCTTTCCCTTCTGTACCAGAGATTGACTGCAGGACCTTGCACTTGCTGGGCAGGCACTCACACTGCTGAGCTATCTCCCCAGCCCTTCTTCCATCGTTTTAAAAGAGCTCCTGCTGCCACTATCAACAGTGACTTTAGATGGAGCAGGCCTGGAATACAACAAGATGGTGACTTGGTGTCTAGCTGCGGACCAGCACTGAACTCCTGGGTGGCAGGCGGTCTCCAGGACAAGCTGTGTAATTAACTATTGCAAGCACACTGCATATCTAATCATCCCAGGCCAGACACTAGAATAAAGAAACACCAAAATAGCCACACCCTCTAATTCATCCCCTCACTATTACAGTGAAAATTGGATCAAACCACGCAACTCAAGGGTAAGTTAGGAGTCAACAGCATATGGGAAAGAAGAAAGATTCTGGAGTCCACTTCAACCATGATTCAAGAACACTCTGCTTGCTTTGATCTGCTTAGAGATTAGAAGGAAGGACTGACCAAGTCAGCATACATAAGGCACTTAGGCTCATGAGCGAGAAGCAAACAAGAGTGGCGAATCCCATTCTGTGGAAGGACTCAGAAAGCCAGAGCAGAGGCATCCTACTGGTCTAGCTCAGACACATCATTAATATTGAATGTTCTGTACAGAACTCTGGGGAAAACTATCAATATTTGATAGGTGAAAAACAAAATTTCAAAATAAGGTAATTTCTAGCTACTTAGAAAAAGCTAAGCAACTAGAATATTTTTCTTGGGGACGGGATGAAAAGAAAATTCTGGTAAATACATGACATCAAATATTTTAAATAACTCTCTATGTAGAGAGTACTACGATATCAGCTTATACACTTCTGGTCATTCTTTAAGCAGATGCTATTAAATGGCTCTTTGGGTGTAACTTCATTCCTAGTGTTTTATGCTAGTGTTGACTACTCTGTGGTTTGCAAATAGCCACTGCTCCTTTGTGAGGCACAAAGAGGCACCACTGTCATGAGGATTTGCACCATGGTGCCCTCTGCCAATGGGACGTTGAGAAAAGGACATGAGAAAAGCTGCATCAGAGAGCGTGTGCGCTGCCCTCGGTCCCTTTTCATCTGCCACGTGGTTGTCAATGTTCTTGACAGAAGATGTTCCTCCAGGGTGAAAGCAATGTGGCCAGCCCTGAATGGAAATGCCGCCAAGCAACCACTGCTGACAACGAGGAATGGGCAGGTGGTTGTCAGGGTTGGTGGTACAGTCAAGACCCCTGCAGAACAACCTCACTTACCCGGATGGATAAACACATAAAATTATCAGTGAACAAAAGTATAAATAGCCTGGCTAGCAATTCCCATCTCAGTGTAAATGCAGTAATTTCAACATAATTACTAGGGGCTTTCCATGACTATATCTAGGTAAGGTGTGCAGTATTAAATAGTTTAATCATAACCTTTCATTTGGAAGACAAGGCAATTTGTTAACATGATTCTGCTCTACAAGCTGAACAGCTCTCCTGAAGACCAGTTATCGCAGAATTCACAGTGCTGTGAACTCAAAAGAGCTGATTACACAAAGGCTTTCAACGGCTGTGCTGTCGTCTTACAACTCAAGTCCCCTGTCATTACAACGCCACCAAAGCATGGCTTTGAAGCTGCCTTCAAGCATGAGGTGACCAGATGGCCTCAGGGGCTGCTCTTAACTAGCACCACCCTCCAAAACTAAGCATGCGGAAGTCTCTCAGCTTCTCCCACCTTTATACTACCCTACTCTACACTCTGACTTTGCTCCTTTGAGGGACTGTGGCATATTTTCACCACTGTAATGGACCAAGAGTACTTCAACATATAAACAGGTAAATTTGCAACGTATATTTGTGGAGTAAAGCATGCACAAAGCTGAATTTTCCAAATAAGTAAGTTATATCCTTCAATACATGATGCTTCTCAACTGTACTACTAAATAAGGAGGCACGTCTGACTGTAATACCCTTATGCTATTAAAGAGCACACAGGAACTGCAATAGGCTGACCTGGGTTGGGCTGTACTGATAGATGAGGCGGCCCCAGAACTCCACCCACACCCACCCAGCGCTCGTGCCCACCACAGTTCTGTCATGCCCACTTTCCACTCACTTGCAAGTCCTTGTGAATCTTACAGCTCCTAACCTACTGCCTTATTTTGTAGAGTTCTAACATCAGCAGGATGACAATGAGACCCTGATACTGATCTCTGCTCCATCCACAAAATTAAAGTGCTGTGGCTCTGGGATGACTGTCCGCTTTGTTCCCATAGGTAGTTTATACTGACTTCTAAGCTCATCATTGAGAAACAGCTTCAGAAGATACTAAAAGGGTTTCACTATATAAAGAGAGGGTGCCCTCCACATAGGAAAAATAGTGCAATCCTGTGGCACTCACATCGTCCAACTAGAGTTGTTAATAAGAATATTAAGCTGTGATTTGAAAAGATATAACAAAGACTTGAGCCATCAAGGCTCAATTATTCAAAGATGATGGCTTAAGGTCATCTTTGTGCACAATCTTCACCTTCTATCACACTTCTATTTGCATTATCACTAAACCCCAAAAGGACAATGACAGCAAGAATAAACCCCTACCGGTGGGAGAAGACCGTTCTGGAGAGATTGAGCACAGCTAGGTACTGGAGGCATCCTCGGAGCAGAGCACCACAGACCTGGGGAAGAAGAAGCTCGGCTTACCTTAAGTATATTTAGGTTTAGGAAAAATATGTTATTTAGAGAAAAATGACCAGTCCTTCATCTGCAGAGCTGTTTTGAGACACCCCCACCCCCAAAGTAACAGAAGGAAACATTACCATGTCCAGGGAACATTCTGTATTGGATAAATCCAAATAAGTGATGGCATTTGGCTGGGCCAAAAAATTATACATGTGCTTGAAAAAGACAAAAACAAAAAATAAATATTAGGATCCAGAAACACACTCGCGCGCGCGCGCACACACACACACACACACACACACACACACTACATAATGCAGGTAACTGTTTTGAAAGGAACTTGCCGATATTCCCCAAGACCATTCTGTGCTTTCCCAAGAGAATTTGAGTCATTTTCTGTCATTCCAACACCTTCCCTAAGAGCAAAATCCCAGGGAATTTAAAATAAAATTATGTTCAAAATTTTTTTAAAGGCCACATGAAACCCTGACTGTCAACACTTTCCCTCACTTTTGCACATGACTTGGCTTTCTTGATTAGCTCATTTTTTTACACAATTTTGGAATGATGCTAATTAATTATAACTCCTGAGATTAAAACACCACCTGGGCTTTGCAGTCACCCTATCAAAATGCTAATCAGTTCTGAAAGTGTTTGAGGAAGCACTCATTTGGCTTGAACCACTGAATGGTCCAAGGCCACCCTCTCTTCTGTCCAACATAACGACTTTTCTAATGATTTTTTCTAACCTTAGTCACTTCCAAAAATCAATCAAGGATGCCCAGCAGCACTATCAGTCTCACATACAAATAAGATAACTTCAGGGGTCACAATGATACCTTCTCTCCCACTCCTGCCTCACGTAAGGTGATCAAAGCAATGATATTAATGACTAGTGTTCTCTAATTGTCCTACGTGAGCAGCGGCCAGGGTTCAGCAACAAGAAATCGGGTATGCACTCTCCACCACTAGACCTTTAGAAACATGGACAGGCCTGAGCATCTCATTCCTTGGGAATGACTGCTCGGTGCTTCCGAAAACCCCTCAATCAAAAGTCACAAGAACAAAATAGTAACATGGAAATATTTTAGCATAAACCAGACACATTCAATGGATCATATTATGAAAGGCTGAACCAAACATTTTGCCCTCACTTTCACAAAGTAATTCAGCCTCTAACTCACTGTTCGGTTCTAGTGACCTAAAGGGACATTTAAATTGGGTGCAATTTTGCTCCTGGCCACCAGTAGGGGGAGCCCTGACACCCTGAAGTGGTAACAAGACTACTAGGTCAGCTACTTTCCAGGAAGGCAGAGACAGAGACAGAGCCTGTGCCCCTGCTGTGGGCCCCAGAACCTCAGCAGGCTGCAGCTGGGATCTCGATGTCCCAGGGGCCTTGGCAATCCACTGCGCTGTCCCCAGAGATCAGCCAGAGAAGATCCCCTGGTCTGGGAAAAAGGTATCAAACAGTTGTATGAGGCTGGGGAGAAAGCTTGGCCATCTAAGCCACCCACCCAGCAAGTGCACAAGGACCCAGGTTCGATTCCTGGCACTGCATACCATGCCGGCCCTGCACCAAGCCAACCACCAAAACGGGGAATGGTGGTGCATGCCTATAATCCCAGCACTAGGGAGGCTGAGACAGGAAGATCACTAAGAGTATGAGCGGCATAGTGAGACCCTGTACCAAATACATAAATTAAAGACAAAAGTAAATGGTTGTGCCCTGCTCTTTAGCCAAGTCTTATTTGCTCTGCCTCATCTTGCCTTCCTGTCTCTATCCCCCCACTTTGTGATCATTGTGCTTTGGGGGTTTTGTGTCAGACTCCCGGCTTCAACCAAGGGAGCGCTGACTTATGAATCCTCAGTGCAGGTGACAGCTAAAATTGGAAAACATGTTGCAAAAGTTGCAGTGAGCCAGGACACAAGTATTATTTAAATGAATGCAAGTGCAAAAAGAAGAGGAGGAGAAAAACAACCAACCATGAAAAAAGCCTTCATTTGTGTTCCTTGATTTACACAGAGAAGTTTGAAGAAAAAAAAAAAAAAAAAAAGAAGTGAGAATACATTTCACAGTGTTTTCGATCCCCGCAGAGCACTGGAATACAAATTCATTCAGGCCCTTCAAAGATGCTCAGTTGCTCTAGGTCCTGGTGCTTAAGGGTAATCTCTGCTGAATGCCACCAAGCTGACCAGAAGAGACCACAGGCCATACACAGTAGTGAGGGCCTGCTTAATTCTCCATGCCAATGAGACCTGCCAAGAGTTTCTATTACTAACTCAGGTGCATGGAAAATCTTGTCCTGATTGAGGGGAACTTTTGGACTTCACACTCAAATCTTAACAAGCAGCTACAGTACTTTTACTTCATTCATGGAATACACTTTTACTTCATTCATGGAATATCACAATAACCTCTTTTAATTACAAACTATAAAGAAACAGTCTTGCCAACAATATTACTTAATCATGGCAAAGTTCCATGTATGCTATCAATCACTTTGTAGCAGGCAATTGAAAACACTATGCTAAAATATTTTAAAATAATAAAAAAAAATACTCCTTCAGAAAAAGTATTTCCAAGAAGCACTTGAACTTTAGCATTATTACATGAGGAAAAAACCAATTGTGGTGATAGATTACATTTAATTAGGGAAGGCTCTGGAGTTTTCATTAAAACACCTCATAAGCTTGTAACTGCACGCCCTCAAGTGCCAGGACAGGGAGGCAGGGTCGTCAGTCAGAAAGTCATGGCAGAAATCAGTCCAGGCTTATTCAGTGTGGTATTGTGGAAGCCGCAAGCCAGGAAAAGCAACCTTACCGAGAGGTCATCTCCGCGAAGGACGTTCCCTGAGAGGTCCAGGTGGGTGAGGGTGGAGGCAGTCAGCGGGTTGGCACTGAGGGACTGAGAAAGGCTGTTCACCCCTGCAACGTTGGGAAACCCAGCCTCAGTTTCCCTTGAGAAGACAACATGAGGCTGTTTTTGGAAATGGCTCCACAATCCCACACAGCTGTGGGAGTGAAATCCTTATAAACATGGACACCAAACAGGATCACGGTGACCACGTCATTTCTGACACACCCCCAGAGAGGCTAGGTGACACGACCATCTCACATACCTGGGGGCAGTGATGGAAGTCGCTATGCTCTGCTCTGCAGAGGACACAGAGCTTTTGACTTGGAAGGCTCAGAAGGATGCAAGCAATCTCACTGACATTTTCGGCCTTATCTGGATTCTACCAAGTGATTCTTAACTCTACAAACAGCACTGAGATGACACACGTGCATATTCAGATAACTTCATCTACTTAGGAACCAGGAAGTTGATGGAGGAATATATACTGTCCTAGTTAGATGTGCTATACTCAAGGCTAAACTGGGATTGGAAGGGGTTCGCAGAGTGAGAAGATATCTGTACACAATGTAAGAAGCCACCAAAAGGAAAAACTTTTAAGCAGGAATCCTCACTCGTTACATACACAACATAAATGGTTTAAGGTAAAGAAAATCAAAAGCCATTCACAAGGCAAGGCGATCACTGTGTGTACAGAGCTACATTCTCTTCTAGGTGAGTGACAGTCACTGGCACAGGCCTCTTGGCCTGGGATGGCTGGATTTTAATCAGGTCACCTTGTCATTGTGAAACAGGAGCTCGGAGAGTCGGCTTGCCCCAGGTACTCAAAACACTCAGCGGCTGAGATCATCCATAGGATAACGGGATACAGCACAGCCCTCTCTGCTTCCACGGAAAGTCTATGGTTCTAAATTATCTATTTCTAATGAAGGTAGACTTTCAAATTATTTTGCCTATTTCTTGTTTCTTCAGTAGAATTCTTTTTAGAAATCCTAGCTGTGTCAACTATCCTGAAGAGAAAGAGGAGAGAGAGTTCTGTCTAGAGCCAGGCTGAAGCTAGGGAGCCGGGCTCAGCCTCTAGGCAGAGCCAGATTCAGTCACAGCAGCAGCACTGGGAGAAAAGAGCTGGGGGCTGCCGACAGAGTGGCGCTGGAGCCCCTCAGGCTGCACACAGGGCTACTATCTCGTCCTCCAGCTCAGAGAGAGGTGCGCAGGACCAGCTGGGGCCTGACAAAAGCCAGTGACCCATTTCTCAAGGAAGAGTGGATGCTAGGTACACAGGAGACAGAGGCTTAGAATGGAAGGCATTTTAGTACAAGGAAGTAATTCTTGGCTATCACCCCAACATTTACCAAATGCTTATAAAGTCCAGGACTTGGGGAAATATGTGGAAGATGCATTCCATTATCTGCCCTGGGAAAGTGTAAAGATGATCATGAAAAAAATTAATTAAATTGCAGGAAAAAAAGGTCAGCATTACATAAGAAACATTTTTTTCATTTCAGAGAATCTTTATTAAAAGCTACTACGTTCTACACATTGGAGATCCAGGGATACCACCTCGCTGGTCAAAGACCAATTGAGTAATGGGCACAGGTGACACCATGGTTTACATGTAAATGGTCCTCCAGAGCCTCATCATGGGACTGTTGAAACCACAGATGCTAGAGCTAAATGAGATAAGAAGCAGGGCCAGGTCAGAAGAGCTAAGTCGCAGGGGTGTGGCCGGCAGAGCACATCTGCCTCCTGGCTCCTTCCTTCTCTCTCTGCTTCCTGGTTCCCGTATGGAGAGCGAGCAGCCTTTCTTCTGCCAGGAGAGGCTGGTCTGGAGCTGGCCCGCCACAGTCCGGAACTGAGAGCGCAAGCACACCTTTCTTCCTTTTCATTGTGAGTGTCTGGTATTGTGTCTTAGCAATTAGAAAAGCCACGAAGGCAGACGACTACTGATAGCCCTGCATCAGTGCTCCAACAACCAAGACGAAAACTACTTCTTCAAAACACAAAAAAATCTCATGTGCACTGAACATGCATGGACCTAATTCTTGGTCATTATCTCCCAAATTAATTAATATGACAACTATGTGGCTTTAATTGTATTAAGCATTATTAAGTCATCTAGAAATGATTAAAAATGCATAGGAAGGTATACAGAGGCTCTATCCAAGAGCTGTGTCATCTCATACGTGGGACATGGGCTGCATCTGTAGATGTGGGCAACCAGGGGGAGGAAAAGAAGCCACAAAAGCAACTTCTGAGGTAGCGAGGGCCAACTATGCTCACTACCCAACCAGGAAATTACTGGCAAGGAAGCAAGACATGAAGAGTTGGCAGTGAAGAGGGTGGAGGTTCGGTGAAGTGCATGTGATGGAAGGAAGCTTATAGGAAAGGACACCTCCTACAGCTTATCTCCTGGGAGTTTTTCAGCGGCCACCTTCTTCTCGTCTGCCCTATTGTGGGTATTCATCTGTTTTTATAAATGAAACAATTGAGTTTGAAACATATGGAGAATAGCAGACTCTCATTAAGGAAATCATTTGTAAAATCATGTTCTTAGTGAGGTATTACAAAAGCCAATAAATAAATTCCCAAATTGCAAGGGCAAATTGTTTTCGACAGCAAAATGCTCCTTGACACGTGCGGGCACTTGGCAGGTGGCCAGCATCAGGGCAGCCTCAGGAGAGGCTCCTGTTCTCAGCTCAGCCGCACGCTACTGGAAGGGAAGGAAGGTTCCTCCCACCTCCTGCGCCTGTCTGTGCACACAGGAGGAGGACCCTGCTAAGCAGCCCACTCAGAGCAGGAAATCATGACGGTGTAGGACTGGAAAAAAATCAGGACTCTTACAACCCAAGCTCGATGCAAATTTGCATGCCGTCCTCGATTCTGGCTGTCTAGTGATTTCCCATCCCTCATGTTTATTATTGGAGTGTTTACAGCTGCAGAAAGGGGGAAGCAGATGGCCCTGCCATGAAAGAATCTGCCAGCCAGCGGGACAGTTGCTAGAAATCCAGAAACTCAGATAGCTAATGTGTGAGATAGAAAAAGGGCCACATGGAGCAATGGGATGCCATGGGGAGTTTATTTAATCTGTTTTAAATTATGAAGCCAGGAATATAAGTGCTTTTCAGGAACTAATATGTGTTAGTCAAATTCAGCAGAAACTTAAAACTGCAGTTTAACCTGAGGTATTCTGAAACTGCAAACCTTTCAGAATCTATATATAAACCTAAGAAATTAACTTTAAAAATAATAATCCCAGCATGCAGGAGGCTGAAGCAGGGGGACTGTCCCAAGTTCAGGGCCTACCTGGGCTATATAGTAAATTCAAGCCAGCCTGAACTACACAGTGACAACTTGTCTTGAACAGAAAACATTCCAAGCTATGTGTCTTAAAAGGTGCAAGCTACAATTCTTTGGGGCGCACACAAACACACTGATGATGCACACCTATTCTCTTGCAGGACAAGGACACACAGGAACTGGTACCCTGGCCAGTGCAGTCATGGCTGCATGTGTCTATCAGCACAAAGACATAGAGTCACCTGCTCTGCCACCTTGGGAAGGACAGGGCACCAGTAAGAGGTGGCACAAGGCACCTGGGAACCAAAACTGACCCTAGGAAGGACAAATGAGCACCACATCCTTCTGCTCATTTTACAGCAATGAACAAAAAAAAAATGAAATAAAATCAAATTTTTGAAAGAATTTCTATCTTACGAAAGTTATGCTTGCACTATGAAGCACAGGCTAAAAGTTGAATACTTTTAATATGTAGAAAAGTGATTTAAGTTAAGAAAAAAGATGATGTACACAAACCTAACAAAGAATGTGTACTGGTAATTTCCCCACAAGAAATGCAAATGATTAAAGGAAAAAATGCTGTAAGCCATGTCTACCGACGCTGAAATTAAAACATCAAAAGACTTTGGTATGCTTAAGAAACTATGAAAGGGGGTCAGGAATGCAAAGGAAGAGATGGTAACAGTGTAAAGACTGTGGAGGTCAGAGGGAAAGAAAAATGAGAACAAGTCTTTAAAGCCCACTCCTGTACCTAGTAATTCTAATAAAAATAACAACAACAAAAAACACACAACTTCTACCCAAAAAAGGTATTACACAAATGGCAAAATTTAGTGGCCAAACTCATGTTATGGTTGCTGTTACTGCTAAGAGCTAACAATTATATAAATGTATACTAACAAATTATTTAAATGAATTATAGAATGTAACATCATACATTGCAATACCATGTGACCACTCTAAGTGGCAATGTGTTTACTGATATAAGTGATCATGATTTACTTTGTAAAGAGATTATGAAATAGTAACCACGATATAATTCTATATGTGCATATGTGTACATATGTACTATTAACAGATAATAGCAAAGAAAGTTGTCATTAGGACACTCCCATAATGCTGGCATGAAGAGTAATTCTTGCTTCCTTATATTTCTTTGTGTCTTCTAAATCTTTACCATGAGTATGCCATGCCTTGACAATGTTCAGCATAAAACTCTGGAGAAAATTGACTTCTGAGGTAAAACAGGGATTGTGCAGAAGAGCTAGACTTGGCTTTAGGGTCTGGAGGTAGGTCCCAGCTCAGAAAACACTAGCATTATAGAAAATCACTCCCCACAGTGGTTTGCTTTCATGCCTTAATCTTAACCATGTGTGCATGAATAAGTGCATAGAAAATCATGAGACTTGTGGAACTAATTCCAATTTCAAATCACTCTAAAGTAACTGCACATCGAGAGCCCTGTATAACTGATGGATGTAACACCCAAGGTCTTCCTCTGCTTCATTTATTTACTGAAGCACACAAGGTGATAGCCAGGGACGTGTCAGGGGCCAGGACACAGAAAAGAGGAAGGTCAAGCAATGACCACCCAGACACCCCAGGCTAGGACGCCAGTGAAGGCCAAGAGAGAAGATACTGGAGTAGAGAGACTGACGCTGGAGGGAAGAACCAGGAAGGAGCCACAGGATGAGCTGTCAAGGGTCGCTGCCTGGGGGCCACTGTCTGCAAAGGCTTTAGACCGTGAGACAGCAGGGGCAACTGGCAGGTGAGCAGCAACCCACGAGGTCTCCAGGCAGGGACACTGAGTTTGCGCCAGGCTGAAATGAATGTATTTGAAAATATGACAGCAGAAGATAACGATGAGGGTGATGTGGTGACGCAGCTGCGGGGGATCTGGAAGCCCTCTCTCTGTGCCAGAAATCACACTGTGGTATGTTACCCCATTTAGGGCGATTACTTGTGATGAAGTGGGTACTCTCCTTTCTGTCTTACACATGTGGCAGACGGGGAACCAGAGGAACCATGCAAGCATGTACATAGTAATAGCAAGGTCAGGACTTAATCACAGGCAATGCGACATGACCTCCGAAGCCACACAGTGCCTCCAAAGGACGGGGATCTAGTTAGGATATGGCAAGTTGCTCCATTCAAGAAGCCTTCTTTCAAATCCACATAGTGGTCCAGGAGCTGAAGGTACAGAGATAAGAGAAACACAGGCCAGCAGAAAGCCTCACGCCCCCAGAAAGACACCACTTCCACAATGATGTCGCGGAGTGATCTAGAAATCTACAAAGGTAAGAGCAGTTGATTCTGGTGCAGCTTTGGGGTAAGCAACACATCCCAGCAGAGATCGTCAAAGATACGCTTAGTAAACTACAAAGAGAAGCTCTCCAAGAATATTTGGGATGAAAGAAAAGCTTCAAGCATCCACAGCCAAGGATGAAGGTGTATACTCGGACAGGACGAATGCAGGATCGTTCCTGCCACTGTTACAGAGGCATGGGTGGGTAAAACAATGACAGAACCAACAAGATTTGGTGGGCAACTGGATAAAAGGGGGGAGGAAGCTGTCAAATCGGGGCCTGGGGAGAAAATGAGGCAATTTCCAGACAGAAAGAATGGAAGCACAGAAGGGTATTACAGAGTCTCCGCAGCGAGGCCCGATCGTTTTCTGTGCTGCTTGTGAAGCAGAGGCCCCCTGTGACAGCTGGATGTAGGGGTCAACTTGTTTTACCCAGAATAAATCAAGAAAATACAACCAGGTACTTTTCAGAACATGAGGTAGGAGGCTAGAGGTGAGGGATTCATTCACAGACTCAAAGCTTAAAACATTCCAAAACGGTATACAAATTTCAAAATAATTCTCTTATTCCAAAAAGACGTTAAATCATCAAATTTGAAGCCTCTACTGGTTTCCTCTTAGAACTGCCAGGACATACTTCTAAATACAGATATGTAACAGACCAATTCTAACTACAACAATATTAGAGATACAATGTTAAGTAAGTAAAAGATACTATACCTTTAGGTGACAATGAGGTTTTAGATAAATTTAAATGCTTTAATCCCTTTGGGAGTTTGGCAAACTGAATACTTAAAGAGGACACACCTGAGAAAGGAAAAAAGAGATTATTAGAATTTTCAAATTCTCAGAATTATGTTTTGACAATGCATAAAAATTAAATTTGATTCCAATTAAACTGACCACCTTTTTCTGCCTTGAGGTAAACAACACATCCCAGCAGAGATCAACAAAAATACATTTTATAAAACACAAAGTCAGAACTAAAGTCAGAGCTTAAAGTCAAAGCTTATTTTCCAATCATATACCATTAAGACTCCTTTTTTCCTGTCCCTCCTATTAGATAGGAGAAGAGGAAGATTATTCAATTAGGCAAAACAGTACCTGAATCCTTACAGTTTTCTTTGGGCCAAGCGCTACCCGCTCCTCACAATCCTACTTAAAATGCAGATCCTCTTGCAAAGAGGCATATAATTGTTCCCTCCTTTTCTTTTTAACCTCTGTCTAATGACTTGCTCTCTCCTGGATGAGCAGATGCACGCTCTTTAATTATTGTGGGGAAGAATGGAATAATATGAACTATTCGGATAACAGCTTCACTTTTAACAGATGGATTCCCATACTTAATTGGCTTAGGGTTAATCACCTCAGGGCGGCAGAGCATGTTTACATTTCTTACAGGTACACTTTGTAACTTGTAATAACTCACCAAGAATCTATGTTACTTAAAATTAGGTGTTCTTTAAAGTGACTGGCCAGAATAGAAGCTAGAAACACCAGCCCACTCATTCATGGACTGTAATGAAGGTAGAGGGCTAGGAGCTAAGTAACAGATGAACAAGTGTCCACCCCTGGGTCTTGCAAATGCGTCCACTTGCAAGTGGGCCCTCAGCGCCCAGGGAAGGGCACCCGTGTTCTCAGGAAGTCTCTGGGAACAGGACTAAACTCATGCTTCCCTTGACTGACCCTTGGGCAGCAATAAGAAACAACTCCGCTGGTCTCTACTCTATTATGTAACCCCAGAAGCTCTACAAATCTTATAAAAACGTATAAAAAATAACTACTATAGAAATAACATAGGGGCTGGAGAGATGGCTCAGTGGTCTAAAGCAGCTACTTGGAACAAGCTTGGCAAAGCACAAGGACCGCGGTTCGATCCTTCAGCACCACATGCCAGCCAGCCTCGCCCCCTGGTGGGCTGAGCTGGCCACACACACACACACACAATAAATAAATGTAATAAATAAATAAATAAATAAATAAATAAAAAAGAAATAACATAAAGGCCGCACACCCTGATTCAGCCTTGAGAAGAGCTGAGTGTTTCCCCTAGGAGGCTAGGTGTTTTGGGAATTCCTGCCTCTCTCTTCAGTATTCCAGTGGCAAAGAAAAAAAAAAAAAGACTTGATTAAGCAATGTTGAACAGAACACATCTCCAAATCTGAATATGCTAATCCTTAGGGCAAATCTATGCAATCCACTCTCTGGGGAGAAAATGAGGAGGAGGGGAGAAGGTGGGATAATTGCTAAAATGTGCTTAAGAAAAAGGTCAAGATAAGGAGTGAGGAGGCACAAAGAAAAGGGAGAAATACAAAACAAGTAGAAAAACTTAGTTTCATCTATACTAATGAGTACATTAAACATAAATGTACTATATACTCAAATTGTAAGTCAGTGACAGTTGATCTGAATACAATATCAAAGTTTTTAAGAGACATACCTAGAAACAGGTATTCAAAGAAGTGAACAGAAAATGATGGGAAAGGCTGGGCGTGGTGGCGCGTGCCTGTAATCCCCGCTCTTGGGAGGCTGTAAGCAGGTGGATCACTGCTCACAGTGAGTCCGATCTAGTAGTGAGACCCTGAGCACCCTGTAGACCCTTCCTTCAAACACAAAAAATAAAATTAAATTGAAATAAAAACAAAATGATGGGAAAAGATACATGCTATATGGGCTGGTGAGACAGACAGCTCAGGAGTCTAAAGCACCTGTTTAGGAAAGCTTAGGTAGGTGCAGGAGACCGCAGTTTGATCCCCAGAACCACATGCCACGACAATCCCACCCTCAGGGCAGGCTGAGCTGGCCAAAAAAAAAAGATACCTGTTATGACCTTTAACCAACAGATGCATGGGGCAGGTATAAGAAGTTACATTTTGAAGGGGTTTTTTTTTTTCACATTTTATTATTATTATTATTATTATTATTAGTATTAGTATTATTTATTTATTGTATTTTTAGAGAATGGTGTACAGGGTGTTCAGTGTCTCACGACTAGATCGGACTAGTAGTGATCTGCCTGTTTATAGCCTCCCAATAGCTGGGATTACAGGCACGTGCCACCACACCCAGTCTCAATTACTGTCTCAGTATGTCCCAGGGGCGGGGCCAGCATGGCATTGAAGATTTTAAATAGAGATGAATGGGACAGCTCATCAATGAGGAAGATATAGTCATCCTAAATCTATAATCCCCAATGAAAATAGTCCACAAATATAAAAGTAAACCTGATGTAACATGAAATAAATGTGTTACTGCACACAAACACACACATATTCCCTAGTAACTCAGAATACATTTTTCAGAGAACTCACTGAACATTTACCAGACATGACCACTCACTAAGCCATGAAGTCTCAATACATAAAATAAATTGCTTAAGTACTGTGACATTACACCAAAATGTTCTAATTGCCTTGTTGTATGCTATAGAATTACTATTGTTAGCCTGGAATTAAGATATAAATTATAGCCACAGGGTGATTAGAAAATCCCCAAATAATTATAAATTAAATAATTCCCTTCTAAATAGCAAATAAATCCAAGAAAAAAATCACAAGGAAATTTGAAAACTACTTTGAGTGAATTAAAAACTAAGAGTTTTGACAACTAAAGGCATACTTAAGGACAAATCAATAGCTCTCTCTCTCTCTCTCTCTCTCTCTCTCTCTCTCTCTCTATATATATATATATATATGTAAGCAAAAAGTTTGAAAATAATTATCTAATTATCTTTACCTTAGGATTTTGAAAAATAGCAAACTTAATCCTACTACCAGAAACAAAAATAAGGAAATAAAGACAAAGTGCGCAAGTAGAAAGCATCAACAAAAACAAGCAAATTCAACAAAACCACTTCTTCAAAGAGACTGCTAAGTAAACCCCCAAAAATCAGTAAGACATGTGTGAGTGAAATCAATTATCAAAATCAGGTATTAAAAAAATTATCAGAGATCTAACAGACAATGCAGATAAAAAGGTGAAAACTTGTAAGCTAAAAAAATACCATTTTAGAACAAACACATAGATTCTTTATGGAAAAAAACCTAAAATTAAGAAATAAATTTTTTTTTGTTTTTTTGTTTTTTTTTTTAGGGAAGTGTCTACAGGGTATTCAGGGTCTCACTACTAGATCAGACTCATAGTGATCCACCTGTTTACAGCCTCCCAAGAGCTGGGATTACAGGCACATGCCAACCCGTCCAGTCTCAATCATAGTCTCAGTGCACCCTGGGGGCAGGTATGGCATAGCGGGCAGGCCAGGAATCGAACCCCTGGCCCCTGCACCTGTTTAAAGGCAATTTAATCCACTGAGCTATTTGGCAGGCCTATTGAGAAATAACTTGTACAGTCTTCGATCTGTTCATGAGTAGAAATCTGTCATTTATTTATTTTTTTCTAGTGCTGGGGATGGAACCCAGGGCTTCACACATGCTGAACAAGACCTCTGCCATTGAGCAACATCCCCATTCTCAAGAAAAAAAAACCTACAAGAATCTTTCTGCAAAAACAACAAATACAGAAGAGTACACACTATATAATTTCATATTGAGGAAGATCAGGAGAGCGCAAGCCTCAGTTTCACGGCAGAAGCCACAAGAATCACCTTCTCCAGGTGCTGGTGGACTAGGGTGGAGATCACAGGGCAAACCCGGCTCTACTGCGTCTTTACCCTGCGTGTGTGAACATCCGTGTGTACAGGTGCAAGTGCGTCACTAGGGACCATATCCAAATCCTGGTCCTCCACACTGAGCTACACCCCCAGGCCGTTTTTTAAAGAGAAGGTTTCACTAAGTCATTGCTGGGCAGGGCTGGAACTTGCAGTCTTCCTGCCTGAGCCTCCCCGGGTACTGTGATTACAGGTGTGCACTATCACACCTGGCTTATTTTCTACTTCTTGAAGTTGGCCTGTCCTTTTCCTAAGTGATCACAGGGGTGCCTTTGCAGTCACCAAAGAGACCTAAGACATTTGGGCTTGAGGAGCTTTTCTGAGTGTACATTGTACTTCACTGAGAAAAATTATTTCAAAAAATTTACACTGGAAGAGTAAAATATACCAGAATGCCACTTTCAAATTTTAATAGGAATTATGATTGCCCACAGTGACAAATTCTTTTCTGTTTTCTTTTAGCTACCAAAATGTTACATCAATGTTAACAAAAACAATATTCCTAAAGTCATAATCCATTATCTTCAAATCATTCTAGAAATACCATTTACTCAACAAAAAATTTTAGCTAACACCTAGCACTAAACTTTAAATTGCTTGTACTCTGGATGATTTTTGCTTTGTTCTTTTAAAAGATGACAATTTAAAACCTCAGTAATTTTTTGTATCAGACACACCTGTAGCACCACAGGAGTCTGTAAATGTCTGTATTTAAGTGAAAAACCAGACGGGAACACTGCTCAAACTGCTGGGGATGCCACCCACCTGCTCACTCCTTCATGAGAGAAGCAGACAGAAAGGAATAAATAATCCACTAATATTTTCTCCAGAAATATATCACAGCCAAAGTAACACAAGTAATAAATCTGAATAAAGGTGAGGCCAATCATGTTGAACAGAGTTTTTTTTAAAAGAACAAATAAAGGTAAGTAGGATTAAATGTACAGAAATAAAAGTACAGACAAATATAATCTGGTTAATGTATTTTAATCAAATTCTAAATAAGCTTTAGCAACATACAATGACCACTTAAGAGCACATCTAATTAAAACCATAGTTTTATACTCTAGAGGAAGAAGTCTTACTAAGTCATTTCTCTTGATGCTTTTAAAAAGAAGCCCAGAATATATTACAGGCTTCA